ACTGACTAAAATAAAGAATAATATACAGAGATCTAACAGCAGACTAGAGGATCCCAAGAATCAAGTCAAAGATTTGAAATACAAAGAAGCAAAAAACCCCACCAGAAAAAAAAAAGAAAAAAGAATCCAAAAGTGTGAGAATATAAGGAGCCTCTGGGACAGCTTTAAGCATACCAACATCTGGATTTTTGAGGTGCCAGAAGAAGAGAGAGAAGGATATTGAAGACCTATTGGAAGAAATAATGACAGAAAACTTTCCTTACCTGGTAAAAGAAATAGACTTACAAGTCCAGGAAGCACAGAGAACTCCAAACAAGAGGAATCCAAAGAGGACCACACCAAGACACATCATAATTAAAATACCAAGGGCAAAAGACAAAGAGAGAATATTAAAAGCAGCAAGAGAAAAACAGTTACCTACAAGGGAGTTCCCATACGACTATCAGCTGATTTCTCAACAGAAACTATGCAGGCCAGAAGGGAGTGGCAAGAAATATTTAAAGTGATGAACAGCAAGAACCTACAACCAAGATTACTCTACCCAGCAAAGCTATCATTCAGAATTGAAGGTCAGATAAAGAGCTTCACAAATAAGAAAAAGCTAAAGGAGTTCATCACCACAAAACCAGGATTCCATGAAATGTTGAAGGGTATTATTTATGAAGAGGAGGAAGAAGAAAATGGTAAAGATAAATAATTATGAACAACAAAGTGACAATAAATACATATCTATCAACAAGTGAATCTAAAAATCAAGTGAATAAAAAATCCAATGAACAGAATAAATTGGTGAAATAATAGAACCAGGGACATAGAAAGGGAGTGACTGACCTTTCTCAGGGGGAAGGGGGTGTGGAGTGAGGAAAGAGGTTGGACAAAAATTGTACACCTATATACAAGGACAGTGGGAGGGTGGTAAGGGGGTGGGGTGGGGAGGAAACCAGGTGGAGGGGACCTATGGGGGGAAAAATGAAGAACAACTGTAATAATCTGAACAATAAAGATTTATTTTTAAAAAAAAAAGAAAGAAAAAGAAAAGGAATCTTAAAAAAAATGTAGAAACTTACTCCTTCCAGTGTAAGATGGATATTCAGAAAACAACACATGATGCTGCTCTTTTATGCAAGATGAAACTAGCATTCCTGTGAGAATGTTATTTATGTTTCATTCTTATTTTCATTCTCATTCTTTGTGGTTTACTAATTTTATAAAATATATGTCTGGTGCTTTCAAATAAATAAATAAATAAATGAAATGAAAATTATTTAAAATTTTATTTAATTGGCTGAGATTCGCAGCTGAGGGTGAAACATGAATCTCTTAGAAAAGCTTGGGACGCATTTCTCAGCACTCTGCATGAAACCCAATGGTGAGCCTCAGGGACTTCAGTTTATCATGAACCAGGATGGTCTCTTCAAAGCTTTGAGGCAGGAGTCCCCATTCTTCTCTGAGATCCAAAGCAGGTAACTTATTCTCATTTATAGAAAGAACACAATACCTTCTATTTCATGAGGTTGATGTTAATACAAATGTAATGTAGAGAGCTCCAAAGCTGGCTTAGTGTCATTCTGTAACTGGACAAACAATGGGTCCATGCTATCTGTCACTACTTGAGCCAATGAAACAGAGACAGGATTGAATCCTATATGAGCGTTTATTCCAATATTTCCAGCAGTATGGGAGAGCAGCAGGTCATCCAGAAAAATCTGCTCTGTGGTCTCCCATAAGACAGCTGCTTATATACGTAGAAGTTCAAAGGAAAAGTAGGCAAAAGGGCAGTTTACAGATATATAAAAGGACTAGGGGACTTCAAAAGGCTGAGTGATACATGGGGAAATAGCCAAAGTGAGTGCAAGCAAGCAGGCTGGAGATTTGCAAAGGCCTTCAGGTGTGAAAAGGGCTGGGGACATTCAAAGGGCTGAGAATTCTGGTTTTTGTAAGAAACCTGTTCATTTTTCCATGATAATAGGCAGCTCCAAATGAGGAGGAAGGGCTGCATATCCAGATCAGCTCCAGCCAGGGTAGAATGTGCCTTCTTTGATCAGAATAAAACAGTCATGGTTAACAGAGCATGATTAATATTTCATACAATACTAGTGGGTTCCCCAATATTCTATTTCTGCCCCCTTTCAATTTCTCATTAAGTTTCAGGGAGTCTCTCCCTGCCCTGAGCTGGAAGCCTAATTATAGTGAGACAAGACTCACGTTACCATGTTATGGCTTACTTTGAATAAGAAAAAATTTAGGATGGCAAAAACATGGCAGACTTTCTGAGTAGAGAAAAAACAAAACAAAACAAAACACAAAACAATGCAGAAACCAAATGGCACATTTGACTTAATTTAGATGATTTTAAAAGCTGTCTTCATTTTGTAATACCCAGCCAGATTTTCCTTTTTTCTCTCTTCAAGATGGGCTGCCACTTTCTGTAGGTAACCTAAGGCAGTGTTTCTGGTATATAAAAATTCTGAAAATATTTAGAAACCAGTTCTCTCAAACTGTGACTTCACAAAGTCTGGCTGCCTTCCACATATATTTTTAGTGGTAGCATGTGTCAGCTGACAGGCATTGGCGCCAACTCAATGCCAACAGGAATCCCCAATTTGGGGGCAGTGAAGAAGGAAGCTTTACTCAGTGCAAAGCAGCTCAATGGTGACACAGCACTCTGTGAAGGGAGCACACAGCACTCCCTGGGTAGGTAGACAGCTCTGCTCTGTTCTGCTCTGCTCCTCACTTGTTTGCTCCCTTTGTTGTTGTTGGTTTAATTTGAGCCCAGTTAGCCACACACTGGGAGCCCTTTTGAGTAGGTATCTTTTGTCTCAGGGTTCACACCTGGGAAATAACAAAGTGGGAAATGCTCTAGAATGGCAGTTGTGCCTTGGGGGTCATTGTCTCAGATGTCACCCTTCCTTGGGGTGCTGGTCTACCTCGACTGTGCTGAAGCTCTCCTTTCCATTCTCTTCATGATCTGTTCTGCATTACTGAAGTTCTTTAAAAAAATTTTTTTGGTTCAATTTACATAAAAAATGTCAAATGTTTAGGAACAAAAAATGTGTGTGTGTGTGTGTGTGTGTGTGTGTGTGTGTGTGTGTCCTGCTAAGAAATCATTCTCTCCACAAGTACATGATGATATATTTTCATATTTTCTTCTAAAAGTTTATTGTTTTGCTTTCACAATTAATTCTACTGGCCACCTGATTGGTTTAATGCAGAAATCAGCTTTAATATTTTTCCATATGATTCACAAATGTTTCAGAACAATTTACTGAAAACTTTCTCCCTTCACTTCCAACTTTGAAGTACCACATTTGTGAGAAATATAATGATATGATTATTCAAATTGATTACATTTTGAGAGGAAAAGAGGGCATTGCTAATTATTGCAGTAGATCAAGAGACTTAAAAAACAGGCTGTTTTGAGCAAACTGGGCTGATGCTCATCATAATTCGGGGTTCATATTTCTGGGCTTTCTGTTCTATTCCATTTCTAACCATCTTTGCACAAGAACCCACTTTATCTTATTTCCACATCTCTAGAATAAGTTGTTATTCTATTGAGTATGTCATCTGATTCTTCAATATAGTCTTGGATATTCTTGGCTTTTACCTTGCTATATATTAGTATTAGAGGACCGGTGCATGAAATTTGTGCACAGGAGTTGGGGGTCCCCTTAGCCTAACCTTCACCCTCTACAATCCAGGACCCCTCGGGGATGTCTGACTTCCTGGGGATTGGGCCTAAACTGGTAGTCAGAGATCCCTCTCACAATCCTGGACCGCTACCTCCTAATTGCTCACCTGTCTGCCTACCTGATCACCCCTTACTGTCCTCCCTGCCATCCTTGTTGCCCCTAACTGCCCCCCCTTCTGGCATAGTATACTAGCCCCCAACTGACCCCCTGCCAGGCTGGTCGCCCTCACAGCCCCTTTAAATGGCCTAGTCACCCCACACAGCCTATTGTTCAGTTGTTTAATTATCCCTCACTAACCCCTTTGCTGGCCTAGTTGTAGGTAGCCATCTTATGAGGGCATGAGGGTCAATGTGTATATTATATCTTTATTATATAGGATTAGAATCACTTGCCATGTTTCATCAAATACAAAACAAAACAAATAAAACCTGTGTGTGTGTGTTTTTTTATTGAAATTGCCTTGATTATATAGGTCAATTGACATTTAAATAATAAATCATGATCAAGCTATAGCTTTCCATTCATTTAGAGCCTTTTTTATTTTCTCTGAATGATGATTATGATTTTCTGTATAGAATTTCTTAACACATTTTGTTGAATTTATTCCTCGGCATTTGAACATTTTTTACATCATTATAAATGCTTCTTAAAACATTTTTTAAAACTTTATAGCTCATATAAATACAAATTAGCTGTGTAAATTGCACTTGTAACCAGCAACACCTTATTTAACTCATTTTTAAATTCTAATAATTTAGACTTTAGATGAAAATATTCATCTGAAATATTATAAGGTTTGCTCTTACTTTCAAATTTTTATATATTTTGTTTTTCTTGAGTTACCATATCAGCTAGGATTTTCATTGAAATTTGAATAAGTGATGGCAACATACATTCTTGTCAAATAGCCAACTAATTTCTCCTTTAATTTTTTTCTATATTTTTTTGTATAATTTTGTCTCTATTTTATAGCTTCTGGAAGTCTATCTGTGAAATAAATTACAGTATTATAATTTTTCTCATTGCTGTCAAGAGGGTACAACAGTTTCTTAGTTTACTACACTGTAAACAATCTACATATCTGCTTGGTGCATTCAAAAGCAATCACTGAATTTTTTAATATAAAGAAAGGAAAAAAGATACCTATGCCAAAATAAATGGGTGTAAACAACCAGCTGAGCTGACAATACAAAGGAAGTTAGAGATTTGTTTGGGGTGGTAGATTTGTTGCAGAAGATATATGAAAACTATCACCATTAAAAGGGCCAGTGACAAAGCTCTGAGCTTGGCCTTGGATTTCCACAGTCTCTATGGGGAAGAAAGTCTGCCTAAGAACAGGATGTTAGTTGAGGGATTGTGTCGAATGAAAAAAATAAATGGATGGTCGGCCACAAAATTTTGCTTTGGCTTTGGCTGAGGCACGCAGTTGGTAACAACTATGGCTGTGGCAGCTGCTGCCTCTGAGCCCTCCTCATTTACTTCCAAAAAAGACTTGTGGACAATTTTTGATACAAAAAGATCTCCAGCTGTTGACATGCCAGACAGATCAGCCCTACTTGTAAAGAGATCCTCTATACCCAGGCTGGCCAGGTGAGAGTTGAGGTTGTAGTTCTCTTCCAGCTTGAACCTGGGCAGGTGGACGTTGACTTCGATGGAACTCAGATTCTCAGGTTTGGTCCACTCATGCAGTTTTTCCAAGGTCAACTGTTCTTCAATCTGAAGTGAGAATGGACAAAAGAAGAGGTGAGAACTATTTCACATAAGCAAGGTAATACATTATTTACATGAATGGACTCAGGTTATCAGTTGCTAATTCATTTCTTTCATGTTTTGTACCAAAATAGATTTCATTTAAAGGATTTCATCTTTTCATCAATTGGTGATAATAGAACAGAGCTGTGTTCCAAGTCATCAAGGGCCCAAGTTACAGGGACTTTGGACATCAGAAGCTTCTATTACCCATCCATTCACCCACCCACCCACCCATCCACCCAGTCTTTCCTAAACCCCTACTACACTGGATTACTGTGATAGACCATGATGGCTGTTATTCCTTTAACTGGTTGATTGGTGCAAGATAAAATTCAAAAGTTTTCTTCTATTCCTTCTATTCTGAACCCTACTGATCACTGTGGTTTTCTGTGAACTCACTGTGCTGAAGTAATCTCTAATAGATTTAGCTTGTGGGTAAAAAAAAGAAAAGGGACTAGTTCCTCATCTAAAATTGGGAGAAGGTTAATAATAGTACCAACCTGATAGCATTGCTGTGAGCATTAAATGATTTAATGTTACACTGTAAGTGCCACAAGAATGTCAGCTATTATCCTTAGCATGTTACTACTACTATTGGACTAGAATGGACCCATCATTCCACTTGTTCTACTGATGCTGATTATGTGTTTTATGAGGCTGGAAAATTTCTCTTTTTAATCAGAGAGAGACAAATATGAAAATACAATTAAAAGAAGGAACATATTGATTTTAATATAGGCTTTAAGCATGCAAATAATTAACATTGTACCTCTTCCTGATAACAGTTTCATTAGGGAGATGATAGAGAAACCACACAGCTAGTTAGACACTAAATAAAAACCACAATCTTCACAGTTTTGCCTAATCCTAGGCTGACAAGAAATGTCTTCACCTTTAACTGAAATAAAATAGAAACATCATACAGAGTTCATATGAGAAAATAGGCTTAGATTTCTTATGGGTCTTCTCTACCATGTAGCTCTTAGAAATTTAATTCACAATCTATGTGAATTGTGATGAGAATGAGCAGTGTAATAATAGGATCTCATAGTACAAGTTGAAACTACTTACTATAAATGTTTAGGGATTTTTAATTTTAATAAATTTGTTCCAATAAAACAATTCTAATTTTACTGCACTTTCCTCTAAAGTTCATTTAAGAAAATTCCTGTGAGCTGCCTCTGACATGTTAAATTTAACATAGATCCTTAGATGTCACCCACCACAACTGTTCACTGACAGTCACTGAAAAGTTAATCTTAGGCTTCAGAGTAGCAAGCATGGATGGGCTACTACCACACAACATACACACAGGCAGAACCCATGTGTCAGATGGAAACATGAAGCATGAGCGTGGGAGCCATTACCTTCTTCAGACCCGTGGCCTCATCCTCGATGTCATCTGGCAGCAGGATGACCATGCTGAGCTCCCTGCCCTGGTAAGGCAGCTCCAGCACCCGGCACTTAAGGTCCTCAATGTAGCCAAATGGGAATTCACTCTCCTGATACATCATTTTCACTGTTTTTGTGTCTTTCTGAATAGTAGGAAAAACCAAGTCACTGACATTATTATCCGCATTCTCTTAGAACAAAGAGCAATTTTGTAATTACATCATCTCACCTTATTCAATCTGAAAGGTGTATCGATTGTGGCCACTTTACTGAATTTCTCCTGCCAGTTTCCTTTGAAATAGATGGCATTAACTAGCACAAGTTTAGTCATATTATCAACCATGCCTGCAGCCAACAATTCTGGAATTTTACCTAAAGAAATAAAGTAATTAAAAAAAAAAATCTTCACATATCAGCATTCCATTTTTGAACTGCATTGAAATGGAATTCAAATTCATACTTTTTATTTATTTCCCATTAATGTATTAAGTTAGGGAAGCCCTTCCAGTGTGTCTCAACTGTAAATAAACCAACTAAACGGTTTAAAAGCTAAAAACAGGACAATCTTCTCTGCATTATATGAGAAACAATGAGCCTTCTTGTTGAATGGCCATTCTTTCACAGGCATAAAAATATTTCTAATGAAAATGATTTTTAAATAAGTCATTTCTTCAAGGCCTCCAGGTGGAAGCTGCTCCCACAGAAGCATTTAGCTGTATTTATCTGAAGGCGAGGACAGTCAGTCCTCTGAAACACCAGTTCCCCTGTGACCGCAGCATGGCCATGAGGAATGCTTTGGATGGGAGACAGGTGTTGGGTAGGTGCCTTGTCTCAGACCTTGATGAGGTTAGAGAGAGTTGTGGTGGAGAAACAGCTGAGATGGAGCCACCCCTGACAGCTTAGACTAGACATTTGCCAAAATAATTATGGCCACAGAAGTTTGTGTTACAAGTATGACAACACTAGAAGCCCAATGCACAAAATTTGTGCAAGGGGCTTCACTGGAGCAGCTGCCACTGCCCTGGCCACCACAGCTTCATTTGGAAGGTCATCCAGAAGGTCACATGGTCTAATTAGCATACTATGCTTTTATTATTATAGTGCCCAAAATTGTTGCACGAGGGGTGTGAAAGTTCCCTCAGCATGGCCTGCACCCTCTCCCAGTCTGGGATATCTTACTGCCGGCTTAGGGACCCCCAACTTTCCATGGGGAATGGGCCTCAGCAGTGAATCTGACAATCCTAGCGCTGTCATAGAGGCAGGAGAGGCTCCCACCACTGCTGCTGTGCTCACCAGCCATGAGCCCTGCTTCTGGCTGAGTTGGCACTCCACATGTGAGGGCGCACTGACCACCAAGGGGCAGCTTTTGCTTTGACACGGATCAGGCCAAAACTGGCTCTCTGACATCCCTCAAGGAGTACCAGAATTGTGAGAGAGCCTAGGCCAGCACAGTGGACCCCATGAGTGCAAGATCGAGGCCAGAGTGGGATGTGGGAGGTGGCCAGCAAAGGAGGGACCTTGGAAGGGTGCCAGAATGTGTCCAGCCAGTCTTGCTCAGTCCCAATCTGTCAGACCTCAGCAGCAAGCTAACTTACCAGACCCAGTGTCTGCCCCCTATTGGTCAGTGCACATCATAGCGAGTGGTTGAGTGGCCTTAGCATATCATTTGCATATTACACTTTGATTGCTTGATCAGAGACTGGATGACTGGACACTTAGCATATTAGGTTTTGGTTTTTTTTTAAATATAGCATTTTCCCCACCATAATCTGGGCCAGGATGCATTGTCTTCAAAGTTTTATCCTTTTTATCTTACATTCAATGTTAGTTGTAATTTTAAAATGTGGTTTTGTGAATTTATGGGGGAAATACTTAGCTACTTCAGTAAAAGCATGTTGAAGTTCCCACTTTGAGGAATTTCCACATTTAAAAGCTGTCTGGCAGTGGGCAGTGGCAGAGGTTAGCCCCAGCGAGAGGGTGAGGGCAGAGGAAAAGGGCAAGGAATCATCTGCAGGCTGGGAAAGTGGGAGGAGGAAAAGAACAGCCAGTGTGTAATGAATGACTACATTCTGCCCACTCCCTTACCTTCAGTCTGCCCTTTGACCCACTCGTTTATCACCTTTCTTGCATCTTCAGAGGCTCGCTGAAAATCTACACTGGCCAGTTCAGCTCCATACATTTTCTGGGTTGAAGCTAAGAACTCCTATTTAAAATAAAAAATATTTTTAAAAAAGAAAGAAAGAATAACACTCTCCACCTTCCACAAATAACTTCTGCTACATACAGAAATGGTTTTATAAAATCCTTAAAAGCAATAGAAATTGTCCTAAAAGACGTAAATTTCCTGTAACAAAAAAATTCTAACCCTTATACTGTTTGTACCATAGTAAAAAACAACATTAAATTTACCAGCTTGATCATTTTAAGTGTACAGTTCAGTAGTTTTGGTATTGCATAAAATATTATAATTCTTTTCTAACCTTTGGCTAACATTTTCATAAATAAGTACACAATGATTGTTCTGGGAAGTGAATTATGGAACTCACACTTGCTTTAATAAAACAGCCAAGGTCAATCTTTTCCTGTGAAGACTATCAAATGTAATTGAACCATTAATAGAGATACTGCCATATGTTTAAATTCTGTATCTTTTTCTGAATGTTTATAAAAATGAAAACTCATGTCTATGACTTGATTGTGCTGGAAAATGTCTGCACTGTTTCGTGAATTTTAGAAAAGTGAAAGCAAAGTACTCACAGGGAGGAACTCATAGGTTTTCTCTCCATATAACCTATTAGCAAGTTTCAGAAGATAGGGAGCTCCGCGCTTGTTGATATTAGCAATCAGTCTCTGGAAACTGGAATGAATCTCCTTAACTGCGTCAAAGTGAAGCATCTAAAACAGAGAAAACATTCTTTCTGCAGCCATTTATTTTGAAATGGATTCCTTGACATTTGCCTCTATCAAATTAAATTAATGCTTGTATTACTAATTATCAATAATCCCAGCCCAATACTTTATTAAAATTTCATTGGAGAACAAAAGAATAGAGAATCTAAAATGTATAACTTTGTGAGACATAATCACATTAGAAGGTCTTTTTATATCACTGTTTTTATAATAATAGTCCCATGAATGTAAATGGTTAATAGCCTAAATATTTACCTATGTCTGCTTTTCCTCCAAAGAAAATTTTAACTAGTATATTGACATGTAAATTCTGTATCAAAGATAATTTTACTGAAAGTTCTCAGAAATTAATAGTAAAATTAAGAAACATCCCCTATTTGGGAGCACAAAAGTATTAAAGAATTGAGGGGATCTTTAAACTACACTATTAGCATCAGTAACTTAAAAATAACATCTATAAACAACATTCAGCAAAAGTTTAATTTTCATGTTACAAATCAAAAACCCTTTATGGTTTTATGAGTCCTGGGCTGGTTCCTTATTTTACACACAAAGAATAAACCTACACAATGT